GAGAGAGAGAGAGAGAGAGAGAAATTTTTAAATTATGGCCATGGCCGTCCTTGAAGAGTTCCTGCAAAGAGGTTAAAGGTCAGTGGTTGGAGGAAAAAAATAAAAATAAAGATGGGAAAAAAATATGAGCCTTTTCCATGGCAAGAATTCCCCCAGCATTCCACGTGCGTATGCCGGTGCAAGCGACCGGTGCCCCCTGGTGGTCAGAGCAGGTCTCAGGGCTGCAGCAGGAGCCATTCCATTGGGCACATAGTGACATCACAGAGCAAAGTGGCACATGTCTCTGGCAGTGAGAGAGTGAGATAGAGAGAGACGATCTCCCTACAATGACGCAATCTGTACCATGTGCCTTTACTGCCCTGTGGTGCCAGCACATGCTAGTTCGGGGGGGGGGGACACAACAGGACACCTCCCATCACCATGGCTAACTTTGTCATCTAGAGATGCAAGCAAAGAGCAGTGCATGCTGGGAAGAAGCGGCAGCACCAAGCATGGAGAGTAGGTATGTCAGAGGACAAAATAAAGACGGACGACGTGCTTATTGGGTTTATGGAAACCAAAGGACTTTCTGGGCTGCACCTGTGGCCACTCGGTTACCTCGATGCCCACAGAGCTACGCGACAGCAGCTGAGAAACATCCCGAATACATCATAAGAACATCGTGTGGCACGGATGGCATCGGTTGGCCCGGCCTGAATAATTCAGCGCTGCTCGGCGCGGCTTCACACTGCCCACACGTGGAACAAAAAAGGGAAGCCTCTGGCCTGAATTATTCAATGGGGAGAATGGGGGGGGAATCTGCGCTGAAGTTCAGCGCTCGGCCATCCATCAACGGGAAAAAGGTCTGACCATTTCACTCCCTGCCTGCAGAAATATCCATCCGCAGTTATGGCTGTTTCTGTAGTACAGGGTGACAGTGAGCCGGCAGCCTGTCCCAGGGGAGCAAAGGGCACTAACCGGGGGACGCCCGGGACGAGATGGCAGTACATTATAGGGCGCGGCCAATATTTATAAAAAATTAAAAAAAAATCTTCAAACTAGGAATACTCCTCCTTACTCCTAACCCCGACTCCCACTCTTTTCCATCCCCCGCTTCCGTAATGCCCGGCTCCCGGCTGCAGGAGTGAGAGATACCTCCCCCCACCCCGCAGAATGACGGAAAATGCGCACAATCATTATTTCTCAGGCCGCCCATCGCTGCCCAGTGTTTCAACGGCATGGTTCAGGGACGGTTTCTGCTGATGTAGAAATGAGCACCCTAGACCCACTGACAGTGTGCAAAATAAATCTGCTGCTGCTTTATCACCAATCCAATGTCTCCTGATGGGACCCGTGCATTTTTAATGAGCCGCTGGGCATGCGCCCGGTCTGGTATAGGTGAGCGCGCCCGGTCTGGTATAGGTGAGCGCGCCCGGTCTGGTATAGGTGAGCGCGCCCGGTCTGGTATAGGTGAGCGCGCCCGGTCTGGTATAGGTGAGCGCGCCCGGTCTGGTATAGGTGAGCGCGCCCGGTCTGGTATAGGTAAGCGCGCCCGGTCTGGTATAGGTAAGCGCGCCCGGTCTGGTCACACAAAACAGGAATGAGAAAGTGGCAATTAATCATGAGTCCTTCAGTTGCCATTTTAATCCCTTGCCAACGGATCGGAAAGGACTTCCTGGTTGGCATCACGTCAGCCGGAGTTTGGGTAGATATTTTACACGTTTTGGGGGAGGGGGGAGAGACATGAAAGGTGAAGAAGACAAGGTGCAGTCAGTCCAGTTGCAGAGCATCAGTCAGGCTCACGCAAAAAATAAAAAATAAACAGGCATGCTGCTTGGCACACGCCCCATACCTGCCAGAAGTCCTGCAGAGGGGGGAGAAGGCAGTAAAGGAGCATATCGGGGAGGGGGAGAGACAATGGATGAGGTCATTGGTTACGTGGAGAAGGGGGAGGAGGAACGACATCGTAAAAGGCACGGCAGACAAACAGCAGTCACTGAAAGAACGGCAACAGTTTAACATCATAAGATTATGAGGAGGAGCGGAGAGGGCACTGGGGTGATAGCACGCGTCGGGGGGCCGTTAGGGACTGACAGGAAGTGAGGGCAATTCAGACAGAGAACAGGACAAACAGGCAGGAAGAAACGGCATCATGAAGCAAGTAATGGGGATAAGGGAGATGAGGAGGAACGTAAGACGGCCAGATGTGGCAGAGACCCGCTTTACGCACTGCCACAGGTCCCATGGGCCTCCCTACTGTACAGGGGTTACCCACAATGCACCAGTCCGCTCAAACTTAAACAGACTGCCCTACGGCCTCCCTGCGTCAACCTGCACGGGAACCTACCGCTTCGACCCATAATTAATTAATAAGCAAATGCCTAATTAGCATACCCATGAGGAATTCATTACGGCATCACGGCATCCTGTTATGCTGATGGGAGATAATGGCGAGTTTGCAGGTGTAAAGGAAATGGGGGGGGGGGGGCGTCTTCTGGTACCGGCAGACAGAGACGGGACAGGATGGTGGTGCGTCTCCCTAGAGATCTACGAATGTAAATGTGCCCGGAGAGCCGCGCTAACCAGCCTGATTTACATGAGGGCACACGGCTCATAAATCCCACGAGGCTGCTGTGAGCCCGGCATGAACTGCAAGTCGGCCAGAGACGTGGCCTGTCAGCGGCGGCCATCCGGCCTGTCAACAAACATGAGGACTGCTCTATGTCTTCGGTCAAACGCTCAACCCAAAATTACGGTTAAACCTAGCTGGGCTTCTTCCTCGCTGAAACCAACGGGCCAGACAGCAGGAAGGAGTGAAGCGAGAGAGAGAGACGGGAAGAGAGGGAGGGGAATAAGCAGATTGTGCATTTATAAACTGAGGAAGGAGACTGGCACTGGTCTGAAGGCGCAGCGCTGCTCAGAAGGGGGCTTCACCACTCGACGTTGACTTTGGGCCAACAAGCAAAATGACGAAAATAATAATGTGCCGGCAGCTTCCGACTCTTTGATCCTGAGCTTCGGGGGGTGGCGAGATAGAGCTGTCCTACGGAGCTGGCAGCTACAGGGGAAGGCCTGCAGACACAGCCCAGGGTTCGAGTCCTCGGGCGTGGATGACAGGGGAAGAAACAACAAAGAAAGGGAAGAGACTGGGCATGGTGAGAACACGGAGTGTGATTTATTCCTGCTCCGTTCTGCAGCTGTGGTGCAGCCCAAGGCGCAAGCAGTTTGAGCGGCGAGTGTTTAGCTCATGCAAACTCCATTAGCATCCACGCGCAGCCTACCTCTCTGTTAGCCGTTTATTAGCCGCGGTTTATAGCTACGGAGAGTCAGCAGGTCCGGTTGCGGTGCTGAGATGACGACCAACATTAACATTTATGGGGGTAGCAGGACAGTCACCCATGGGGGGGCGGGGGGGCACTCCCATGACAGCCTGACTGGAAAGCGGATGATCTAGGACGACTAGAGGCACCACTGCCAGAGAAGGTCCAGGTCCAGGCCTGAGCTTTACAAGGTCCTTCACAGCCATAGTCAAGCAGCATATTAAACACAATCATACATTTAGATGTGAAACGAAAGTGCTGTTTGGCTAAACTTCATCTAAGATAAGGGGACAGGGTGTTACTAATGGCAGTATGCAGAGAAGCCCCCTTTTAAAATGCAGGTGCTCGCTTTAACCCCCGATTGACAAAAGGTAGAGAGAAAATCCCACCGAGGTCTGGACGGCAAGCCGGGGGGTTTGAGAGAGAAGAGAATTATGGGAATGGGATTGCAGTGTTGTTTGGTGAAACATCAAAATACCACTCAGTAAGCCAATGGGTCCGTCTGCTTACCTTGCCATCATAGCGCTTCACCAAGAACTGATCCAGGCCCAAGCCTGAAAGAGGGGGAGAGAGAAAGAGAGAGAAATGGACGACATTTAGACTTTGTTAAAGATCTCCTCAATAGCCTCACCTTACAGAAGTTTGGAACTTACAAACACGCCACAGGTTCTAACCTTGGCACATTGCACACTGTTTGGCGTGTTTATGAGTTGTCAATAGCGTACTTTGGTCAGACCCAAACTGTGCAAATGACGAATAACGACTATTAACAAACGGCAATAAGGCACTTTCAGAACTGCTGTCATCAATCATCGATCTGCTGACTCATGGAACAGATATCATGCTTTCAGAACCCGCTGAGACGCCTCTTTTTCCACTGTTTTCTGGCTCTAATCATCATTTGACAGCCAGGAGATGCTGAAGCTTGGACCACAGACAGGGAAGCGGGACCAGCAAACACTGACATCCTGCCTGCTCATGCCCCTTTGACCGGACCTCCTCCTATCCAACATGATTCAACATCAACACCCCAGAGTTGGACCACTTGGGACATCTGACTGGGAGCTGTCACTCCCAACGCTCATTACACATGACATCATTCCGATTCGCAAAGGTCAAAAAGGTCGGGGACCTTTCTGCAGGTCAGAGGTCAAATATCAATTAACACTGACCTCAACGTCTAAAAGACCATGATGGAGGACAAATTCGAGACTTGGTAAATTTTGAACTTGATTAGAAGGAGACCATTTTCAAATGACTGACCTAAGTCAAAATAAAAAGTATAATAATAATAATAGTAATAAATAATAATAAATTGACACAACCAAATTTTAGAAGAAGGAAATTACTTGGACACCCCCTGAGCCCCCCACCACACAAACCCACCACCCAACGTTTGACATGCACACACTTAATAAGCAAACACCCAATCTTCCTGACAAAAAGCCAAAAAATAATCATAATGCACCTAGACAAAGGAACTAATATGATAGTTTAGCATAGGGGTTTGTATACGAGTTCCAATCCATCATATTTAATAAACTGATGGATCACTTGGGCGAGCTAGCCAATGGCTGACTGCGAAGAAATGCGACGTGAATTATGCATGCGGGCACAAGATCCCTTGCGCCAGCTGCTTCAGGAAGCACTCTGAGAGGAAACTAATAAAAAGATGCTGCTTTTAAGTTGGCCTTATCACTTATTCATACATCTGCTGCCAGCAGCCAAAGAATCACTCATCCAGAAAAACGAAATGGGTCGTTTTGTCGCAGCAAAGCGGGTCGCGGCGGACGTGCAGCAGGTGAGGGTGCCACGCGAGCTGGCAGGCAGACGCCATCAGGGTGGACGAGAGGCCCCGCACGCTTAACCTGCCTCTATGCACGTTCCACTCCACTGATGTACCAACAGCTTAGTGTTGCTCAATCCAACATAATCGCTGCGTGTGGGGGTTGGAGTGTCAGTGTGTCACTGCATGTCTCCGCGTGCTAATCTCAGCTACAGGTGGCCGGCATTCCACAGCCGCGCATCCCATCCTCCCGGTTCTCGGCCCTCCGGCAGTCCCCGCATTGCCACGCCATTGCGCAGGCTGTGCAGACTGAAAGCAATTATTTCCACAAAAACGCAGATGTTTCTTCATGTCTACAGGCCCCAAATATTAATTACTGAACAAACAACGACCATTTCCATTTTCCCTTTTGTGCAGTCTTTTTTGCTTGCTTCTACCTTCACAGAACTGTTAAAAAGCATCATTTTAATCTAGAGAAACACTCAAGATCATATCAACATCTCCCACAGCCTCTGAAACGTCTCTCACTGCTTGATTCCCTCGTACGCAGCACCTCTCACAAGGTTCCCCCCCCCCCGCCCCCCGAGTCCGTCACCACTGATGGGCAACACTGGGCATACCCCGTGGTCCTGACAGATCCATGCAGTACAGCCCAGTGGAAGCTCCTGCACGCGTGGCAGCAAAGGTCTCAGAGCTGCATCAGGACACTGGGGAATTCCTACTTATAACTGAGAAGAGAACAGAAAATCCGGAAAATGCTCAGCCAGGGCCATGGAACTTGGACTGGACCTGAGCTGCAGAGGGAACTATTTTAATTATTAACTATGATCTTTAATTGTTAATTTTATATGTCAAATATCCCTCGCCAAAAATTACATCAGTCAGACCCCACACCTTCGAGTTACAATTTGGGTCACAACAAGCCTACCTGACTTCACTAATTAATATTAGATATTTTAATCTGAGGATTTTGGAAGCCGGTTCTCATTAACATATCAGGAGATACATTCCTATTTGTCACCTGTCCCCCCCGCTTGTCCTCACCTGTCCCGTCACCCTGAACCCCTAGCGCGAGCGGGGGGGGGGGGGAACTCGCATGTAAACGCACTATTGAAAGGATCACCAGCATGTGTGTAATGTCACCCTCAGGCGCCAAACCATGCCCCCCTTGTCAAAGTTCCAGAACTTCATGGGATCTGGTTCTGGTTTATGCAACACCTCCCTCATCCTGCACCCCTTGAAAGCCTCCACAGCACCTGTCCCAAGCCATCGGGTATCCAGCACCTCATTGGCTGGAGGAGCAAGTGACCGCGGGCCCAAGCGAGACGGAGATACCCTTGGCGGCGACAGCTGAGCCCCCCTTCCCCACATCCCAAAGCGGATATAAACGACGGCTAGACACCCGGGGCGGGGAGGCAATATGTGGGTTGCAGGAATGTGGGGGAACAGTACAGCTGCCGCTGTCCCGCAATATCAACCCCACTTCCTGTTTACAGTCGCTTCAGTCCCGGAACTTGTAAACTTGCCACAGACCAAGGTCAAGATCGTCTTGTAAAAGGGCCACAACTGCAGACCAAACATTTTTTGCATATTTTCCTCGCAATTTGCATATTTCTAAGACGAAAAATCTGCACAGTCACTTGACTCCAGGGCAAAATCTCACTTAGTCAAACAGGTATTCAGTGCAAGTGGGACACTGCAAGCCAGTCCCTATGTACCCATAAATAAAGACATCAGCAGATATCATGCTATATACTAAAGAGCACACCTTTCATAGTACAACTGACAGGAATGGACATGTAAAGAATTTAAAGTAGGTGGGAAATGTTAAGGTAAAAAAAAAAAAAGTGAAAATGTTAAAAATTAATACACTTTCATCTCTGCAGTGGAGGGATCAGCGGAGGCCTGGCTGATCTGGCCTGACACCTATTCATTCACTCCGCTACCCAGCAGTCCCCAACGGCAGACCCTGGAACATCCACACTTCCTCGTTCTTACCAATTATTCAGAACCCATCTCCACATTTCCTTAAATATAAAAATCACAGTCCAAAAAAACAAATCCTGCCATCCTCCACAGCCAATATCTGCATAGGTATTATTTTTTTCCCAGCAGCAATTAAAAGGAGGCAGAAATGAGTCATTAAATGCCTTATTTTGTCATGTTATTTGGTTCCATGTACTCTGACAAAAAGGTAGTATATCAAACAAGTTAATCATTACTAGATCTAGACTGATCAAAAATATAAATTTGGAAAAAAAACTGAACATAAGTAATTAAAACACAACTATATTCAATTTCTTGTTGTAATATTTCCCTGTAAATAAATACACAATAAATTCAGCTCCAGATACCACAGAAGAGGCTGCAATGATATTACAGTAAAATACAGTCTAGATCCAGAACTGTTTAGTATTCAAATTAATGCAGGTTAAACAGTACTATGAATAATGTTTGAAACTTTTATGTGACAAGACACTCCAGGCAAGATCTGGCAAATACAATTTATTATGAAACAGTCTGGAGGTCGGAGGAGCGATACCTTCTATGGACAGCTGTGGCGGGAGAAACGGCGAGGTATTAGCCATGTTACCCAGGGGTTCAGAAGCTGCTGATAGGATAGTAAGTATAAAAATGTCTTGAAGGACACCTGCGATCGACCTGAAAAACTACATGCTGGAACTATAAGGACGTTTTCATTAAGCAGGTTAACCTCTTTGCAAAGGCCTTTTCTTCAGCAAATTCTGGTACAGCCCCCCCCCCCCAGCCTGCCTTCATTTCTTCCCTTTCCCCATCATCTGCCCCAGCCAGGATAGCCTGGGAAGACCCTGTCACTTTTAAACAATGTTTCATGGACAATAAAGCTGTCATCCAACAGCTAAGTTTAGCGTAGCTTGCAAGCTGCTCTCCATATATATGCCAAGAGGGTTTCACCAGGTATACCCAACAGACACACAAAAACCGAACCAAGCATCAACATCACAATTCATGAACATCCTTGTCAAACACCTTTCAGTGTCGATTCTTTCTTTTAACCAATTGGAGAAAAACAAAAGGGCCTGAGAAGAATGAAGAAGGCGTCACTCTACCTAATGCAAACTCCACAGCACGAGCCACTACAACAGTCTGAGCGTGCTCAGTAGATTAAGGAGCCATTTAACAGACGCAGAAATTATGGATCTTATCTTCCAGCCTCTTACAGAAATGAGCCCCGAGTAAGCCAAATTGAATATCGACAGTGCAAGACGACTTCCCCCACTGCCCCATAAGTAACACCAGTGCTAAACCATCTTACTGCTGGACAACACTCAACGCTTACTCACCAGAGTAAGCCCAAGACAACTTGATGAAGGCTGCTGCAGGATTAGCCATGCTATACCACCGAGTATCTGTGCCAAAACACATCCAAAGACTAGAAGACTATATAGTATTACAAAAGATAATTAGATAATATTCGCAAATTCGGATTTCTTCCATCCATCTTCTAACCCTAACCCTGAATCCTGGTGAGGGTTTCAGAATCTCATTAAGCCCAGAACACCAGGCTGAGGAACACCCTGAATGGGATGATGTAGTATCTTCTGCATCATAAATTATATTGCAAAGCATCTATATATTCAGTGCTGGGTCCAGAAATAAATCACTATGGGTGTATCTGAAATGAGTGAGTGGGCACGATAAAAGCAACCATGACAGAGTCATGTGCTGATCTACTTCCAATTAAGGGAGCACATTATTAATCTGTGGGCGTTATGCACCCTTAGACACCCTTGTAAACCCAGGTCGGTATAAATGTAAAGCATAGACAAACCACACTACTGGAGAAATGTACCTTCAAGTCAAACACCAAGTCAAACGACCAACACCCTAAAGGAAAAGTGACATCCATCCATTTACCATAACCACTAATCCAATATGGAGTCGCAGAGGATAGCGGTTATTTTCGACAAGATGCCACTCCATCACAGAACACGTGTGGCACACAAACGGGGTAACTCAGAAATATCAATGAGCTTCACTGCATGTTTTCAGACAGCAGCAGGAAGCAGCTGAGGAAAACCACAGAAAACGGACAGGCAATGTGGCCAGGGTTAGCCTAGAGCTAATGCAGCTAATTCCCCAAAAGCCGCCCAAACAGAGCACAGGACTCTCAAGACAGATCGAGGCCTGGCTTGCTGAGGTTGAGCCCACGATGGGCCATTAACAACGGACACTGCATTGCAGAGGATTGCATCCAGGGCTTCAATGCCAGCCCTGATTTATGCGTGCTGCTTTTGGCTGACAGCAGTGCTGGTTCATATAGCACTTCTGCATGCAGTATCTAAATTAAGCCCTAATTAGCTGCCTGGTTGCTTAAAGATACAGGAGCGCTTGATGGCAGCATTTATAGTATGAAAGCCCCAGTCATGCCTGCGGCGAGTCAGCAAGCATGGGTAATCCAGACCATAAAGTACAACACGGAGATACAGAACAGCTGCGGCCAGAAGCCTCCTGACACGACACGGCGGCGGGGGAAGAGAGAGCCGGCCAAGAAGTAAGTGCTAACAGAAGGATCAGTAACGGCATAGATCCATACAGAGGGGAGAGGCTATGGTGTAAAGTAACAGCCCACAGATCCTGAACACTGAACCTCAACTAACCCAGCTCCTGGAACTACAGCTCACCCAAGATCTCCACAAGCAGCAGACACTTTGACCGATACCCTCCAGCAAGGGTGAGGAGAGACTGAAGCTCCCCAGTGAGAAACTCCAGCTACAGAAACAGGAACTGGAACACGAACCAAAGAGCAGAGAAAAAGCAAGATCAAGCGAGAAAGATGAGGCAAGCGTCAGGTTCCCACGTCACTGGCCTGGCATGCGAGACCGCCAAAGTGACCGATCAATCACGGCTGCCAATCAGCCAAAGGCAGACAGAGAGTTTAAAGAAGATACACCCCATCTGTTACCATTATTAAAATATCATCCAAAGCAAATGAAATTAAGTAATGTACCCGCTTCCAATACAACTTGTTGTAGACATGTGACACATCTCAGCCATCACACTAATGCTAAATCTAAAACATGGGTCGGCTGACAAGGGAAATGACATGGAGTATCACAACAGACCACAGACAGACACAAATTAGTGCATAAAAAAGTGCATGACAAATAGAATTCACCAGCACTGGCTCCGAGTAAAATCTTACATCCGCTTTTCCAGAGCAGGGTTGCAGGAGTCTGGATCTTATTCAAAGTAGGGGAACACCATGAATGCCGTGCCAGGCCGATGGAGGGCATGTGGGCACACCCACATTCACCTAACCTGATGTCACTGGACCGCGGCGGGAAACCAGGGGAGAACATTTCAGAACTCAAACCCCCAGTCCAGGGGAGGCCAGGCCAGAAAGCTAGTCACCGAGCCACATTTCTTACATTAATATTACGACTGCGATTCTCTCATTGAAAGCAGATGGAATTAGTGGGTTCAAAGTGTTCAGAAGAGGGGAACAGACCAGTTAGACGACTGTATTCCCCGGTGGAATAAAGAGAGGAATGTACGTGGCATGAACAGGATTAAGGTGATTATTATCTGGGTGGGTATTTGTAGCACAGGGTTGCTAAGATTTTTTTTGTCTGTACGAGCAGCGAGGTGTGGTGGGGGGGGGGGGGGGGTTAGAAAGGGGGGGGGGGGGGGGGGGGGGGGGGGGGGGGGGGGGGGGCTTGGCCATAACAACGGCCCAGAGGAACATGGTGAAGAGGCACTGGGGACAGGGGTGGAGCAATGGGAGATGGGGGCCACACGTTTACTGCGGCTGCCGTTAGCCACTTTGCTCTCCCTGAGTCCTGCTGTCTCCATTGTGGGGGGGCGGGGGGGTCAGTATCCCAGAGTGACAGGGAGTAATGCAAGTAGTGCAAATACACAGAGAACAACAGACAAACAACAGACAGAGACTCACTCTCAGGCTGCTTCTCGTTAGGGGTGATGGAACGCACAAAGTCCTGCGGCGTCATGTAGACTTCAGCATCTCCATGCTCGTTGATGATCTTCAGGGTGGCGAAGTAGCGGAAGATCTTATCTGGGGTGGAATACGCCCGGATGCGATTCTCATATTCCATCACCTGGGGAGAGGGGGGCATGCAGGGTTGTGAATATATGGAATATATGTGAATATATCTTCTTGTTATAAAAATGCTGCTGAGAACTACTAATATGATTTGTTACCCATCACCCCAATGCAAGTCTCTAATACAGAATTATTAATTTCACATCACTTTAGACACGAGAGGAAACGAGAGCAGCACCTGGTCAGTTTCCTAGATCTATATTAAAAGTTTTTCACATTCCGACCCAGTTCACACGGTGCTTCAAAGTGAAGGGAAGGAGCTTCCACATCACGCCGATCACCAGCGCAGCCTGGTGAACAGAGCTGAAGTGCACTCTCGCTGCACCCCTCCTGCGTTACTTAGCAACGTAAAGCGACAGAGGACAGCTACTTAAAAAGCCACAGCTAATAATGATACATAATTTACCACCAAACCACTGAAACAAGCAAACGTACACAGTCATGATAAGCAGAGAACATATCCCAGGCAGTACAGAGTAGAGCAGGGAAAGCAGAAGGATAACTTGGACTTCATTACATTAAATGGTGTCTTTAACAGCCAGCCAGGAGTTATGGGACGCATGTAAAGCAGGTTCTCTGGATGACGAGCCGGGGAGTGTGAGCCAAGCTGGCAGGCCCGGATGAATCATAGCGGCATTCCTTAACAGTGGATCACATTCAGCCACCCAGATGTCTTCATTTTCTGATGTTCTGACATCAGAGAAGGATGGGCTCTTTCCCAGAACATCCACCATCTTCACAAACAGCCGGCTTATTCATTATAGAAAACAAATAACACATTCTGATTAAGGGTCAAAATGGTCAGTAAAAATGAAAAGACGGGAAGACGAGAGAGTCACATGCTGCAGATCAAGCTTCCCCAGATGCCACTCAGCTTCCATAAGATAAAAACCAACCCATGCAGATAAAGCAGCACAATGTCAGGGCTCCCTGAGATCATCTTTGCTGCCACAGATGCGTGCGGATCACTTTGATGCCACTTGCCACTTTGTCAATCAGACAGGGATGAAGAGTTCCAAAAATAAACATCTTCAATCCAAAAGAAGAACCACCAGAGTCCACACTACCATCATCACTGAAGATCTTTGCATCATTAACCCTGATTGACATTTCATTTTTACAAAGATCTCTTTTCTCACAGCTATGAATATAGGCACTGATTTGATTGATTTAGGACGGAAATCCTGGCTGGGTGTAATGTGTGAGTAACCTGACTGTACTGGACTTATGCAAACAATATGGTCAGTAACCAACCTAGTAACGGTGTCAGTCATTTAAATGAGTGTCTCTGCATGGAAAGAGACGCACAATTCAACAGAATTAGTGACTCATGACCTCCGTCCCAACATTCAGAATTTGTTTAAAAAAAAATTCAAAATTAGCTCCTCAAAACCCTCCATACACCCACACCAACTTGATTAAACAAATGCTGGACTCCCGTCCCCGATAACAATTAACTATTTATTTTATTTACTAATATTTGGCAGATGTGCAGTGGGTTGGTGCCCCATACTGGGTTGTTCCCTGCCTTGCACCCGTAGCCTCTAGGATATGCTCCGAACCCCCCATGACCCTGAACAGGGCAAGCGTTTGCGGAAAGTGGATGGATGGATGGATGGATGGATGGATGGCAGACGTAAAGTTGAGAAAGCAGACTTAGCCAGTCCCTTTAGAAATTGGGGGTTAAGGGCCTTGCTCAAGGACCCAATGGTGACAGCACTTTGCTGACTGGGGAATGTGAACCAGTGACCTTCTGCTCACAAACACAGTGTCCTAACCTGCTGGGCCACACATGCTTGTCCGACAGGTTTGTCTGTCTGGCTTTTCCAGCTCCAAGCAATGATTTTTCTAGGGTGTGTAGAACCATAAAACAGGAGGGCAGAGACATGCTTGTGTGGGCGTGGGTATGGGTATGTGCGTGAGCAGAGCGTGTGTGTATCTGGATTCCTCCTAACCAGCCTCCACCGTGCACCGTTTTCACTCTAGGCGGCTGCAGTTGGAATTATGGATCTTTACCTGCCATGAATTGCAGATATTAAAACATAAATAAACAAATGGGGGGGGGGGTGGCGGTGGATCGGGCTGAGTGATCGAGAAACTGGGGGAGTTTGTCACCTCTGGGAACCCCCCATCCTATAGTATTTACAGGGCATTGATTACGGCTTCACCCATGCGTGATAAAGGTTCCAGCTCAAACCGGCTATGCTGTTTGCTCTCGTGCAGGCGTGTCAAGCACAAGGCATCCACTTAAGTGCCCAGAACTAATACAAGACTTTTGGCATTTTTAGTTATTTGACTGCAGTCATAGTTTTTGTATAAAATTGAGATTCCCCTTGTGGTGACTGGAAAAATGTCCCCACAAGATCAAAATAACATTTTTTATCACATTGCGGGGACACACTTGGTCCCCATAATGTAATATTTACATGACCCCCCCCCCACACACACACACACACACACACACACACAGACTTCCAGAAGCTGAAGGATGACCATAACACGGGCAGCAACAAGTATCAACTCTGTAAAACTTGGAACATTTGACACAGTGCTGCAAACAGTCAAAATGGAACTCTCCCTTATACCTCACAAAAAAAAAAATCACAGCATGAAATCTTGTCTCCTGCAAACCGCAGACATTCCCGGCCCCATGCCCCCTCTGCATCAGCCTCTCCACCCCAGCACACTTTCAGCAGAACTTAGTGATGCTGCGTCACTTTCTTACCCCCATAATCCTCCCAAACAAAAACAAACAGTGCAGCATGACCATGTTTGGACGTTAGGACCCTGTCCATTGCGAGCATGTTGTATATTTGTTTCCCCCACAGAGTAATTAACGTGAAATACATAAGCAGGTCATTAATGAGAACATCCAATTAGGAAGAGTGGGTGGTGGGATTGCAAAGGTATGAGATTTTCGCAGTATGATAACCGTGTCAGAAAATATCACTGTTTCATGGTATCATGGTATACGGTATTTCACTATTATTATTATCATTATTATTATTATTTAGTTACAGTGACCCTTAAAGAAATGACAAGGGATATTTCTGTTGAATAAAATAAATCATTTTGAAAATTTTTTATATAAGAGAGCTGTACTACTTCCGTCTGAACAACAGAGATTAGAAGGAAAAAGAAGCAGGGCCTTTAAAAACGTAATCCCTCTTTGCATAGTAATCAATAAAACATGTTACTATTGTGCTAAATATATTATTAATCTAATAAAACATGTCAATGAAACAATTCTTATGGTATCAAATACACAGTTATAATCTACAGACCATATTGCAATCAAGCTAAATAAACATTAATAATCTAATAAAACACATTGGTTATACTATCAAGCTGAATGTAAACTTTTTTAATAATAATTAATAAAAACACACCTTTTTTAAAAACATTTGCAAATGTTTTCCATTCATGCAAATGCACCCTGAAACTTTTTTTTTGTAGTCCAACTGATTTGAAAAGACATGCATTTGGCTGTAACAAATGCAAAATACGGATTTCAGTTCAGGATGAACCTAAATATACCAAAGTATCATGTCGCTGAACAGCAGCAATTTAAACTGGTGAAAAAATAAACTAATATTTCATATATGGGAAATTTACGTAATAGTTTTAAGCCAAAAACTGGAAACAAAGAGTCAAAGCTTAAGATGACAAGCAAAGAAAATGGATTTTTGTTTTTTCAGTCAGCAGAACTCCAGTTCTCGCAAAAAAAAAGGAATCACTGTAGCTTCCAGTCACTATACACAATAAATATTTGCAGTAAAATGGCAAGATAAATAGACCAGACAGTCCCAGAAAAAGTAATGTGATTCATGCATGCTCAAAAATGCATGTTCAGATGTTCAGATGCATGTTCAGGTAGTATGGATCAGGTAGTGACAGGAGATGCAAACACGCAGGTGAGATTCTCCGTTCGGTTACATTTTTTTCCCAGTATTGCTAATAAACAAATGTACTTGGCATGACAACCATCAATTTTCATACCGTGGTCTACCGTCAAACCAGTATAACCTAGCTGGTGGGCAGTGTTTTTCTCTCAGGATTTAGGCAAACCAGCATCATCATGATCACTGTATGGGAGGTAATTATAATGGAGGGATTACACTGTTTCAGAGAAGCAATGCAGTAAAGGGGGGGCGGGGGGAGTTAGGACAATCCAAAGAGCAGATGTGTGACAGGGGCCAGAAAACATCCGGAACGTAAATGGACTGGTCTGGGTTAGGGGCTCACATTATATGGTTTTATGGAGTCCAGAATCTCTAGCAGCACCTCTGTGCAGAGCGGTGGTGCCGTCTCCACACGCACCCACCTCAGCGTCCGTTACCATGGCGGCCGTCACCATGGCGGCCATTACCTTGCGGTCTCGGAAGCCGACCCGCTGCTTCTTCTTCTTCTCCTCCCCTTCGGAGGCCGAATCCTCGTCGCCGCTCTCTGCAGGCTCCACTTGCTTCTCAGAGTCCAGGTCCACCCCGCTCGCGCGAGCAGCCTCTGGAAACTCGGCTCGCTCGTCACGGCGGACCGACGAGCCGGCCTCAGCGTGTGCCCTGTCGGGTGGCAATGGGGGTGGGGGGGATTGGAGGGAGCGGGACAGGCGATGCTTGGATCACGAATGTCTCACTTTTCATTTCAAAACCGCATTTTTAAATCCCAATCTTAATAAGAGAGAGAAACCAAACAGGGACATATGATAAACACTGACATGGGTGCACTGCTTTCTTCAGCCTCCTGTTTCTGCATCCCTGCAGTGCAGGACCTTAGCTTAGATGAGGGTTAACTGACTGAAATGTAACTGTCAGTGTCTTAGATCATTCAGTCGCTTCCCATTTCCGCTAAAACGAAAAAGACTGATAAACAGCAGGGATGGGGCGCTGCTGTCCCGGGGGCCACCTGACAATTCGTTTTAATGAGGGTCAAAGAGAATAAGTCCCTAGACGAGGGCTGCAATGGACCGGCCCCCTCTGCCGCACCATCAAGTCTCACCCTGTTTGGGGTTTAAAAGCCATGTTGCTGTGATTCCGACCCCCCCCACTCCTAGCAGGGGCGTAGGAACTGGGGTGAATGGGGGGGGACATGTATCCCGCAGTATTTAATTTGATTACATTCACCCCCCACCAATAAATAGATTTTTGCATATAAATTACAAAGTTGTGCCCTGCCCCCCCAGTATGAAATTCTCTTCCAGCAGCCTGGTAACGAAGTCAGAATGTAGCTCCCATGACACGACTTAGTGCCAAACCGTATACTTCAGACGGCCATTTGCAAGACTCACTCAGTGCATGGGATACATTTAAGAACATTTCTATGGATTTAGTGAGTTTTGGAAATTTAAGGAAAGTTCTTCCTTGGATTACATAAGGACAGAGTGAGTTTTGGGTCCCAACAGTGGAACATGTGACGAGGAAGTCAGACTTGATGGTTAATTGGTGAGCTAATGTCAAAAGCAACAAAAATTGGACTGAGTGAGCTTTGGAAATATGCTCTTCAGTTATCAATACATTTCAAAATTTTACTTCACATTTTAGTACATTCAGGGTAGAATCGGTAATGGTGCTGTCATTTTTATAAAGGGAGGACACACCTCTTCCAGAGCAATCCTGCACTGGCTGTTGCCCCAGTCACACCCATCAGAGCCGCCAGCATGAGGCGCCGCCGGCCTGGATCCCGCGTAACACCTGTATGGTATCGCCTTGACAACCGCGCCAGCTCTACAGCGGCTGCCGACAACAGTCGCAGGCGGAACATTCTGGATGAAGAAGAAGAGAGGAAAAATGTGAAGATTAAAGGGCAGGGGTAATGCCAAGTTAGAGCCAAAGGCCCAACATCAAAGAACAAGGACGTAACACCCCCCCCCCAGCACAAGACCATATGGCCTCTGCTCTGAAATGTCACCATAGCCTCAGAAACCTTGCATTTTAAAAAAAATATATAAAACTACACACTAAATTTTCTGAAAGTAAAAAGTTGGTCCCGTCATTAGACAGCTCATTATTCTAAGACACTCCCGACTTAACAGCAAGGCTTTGGGTCCACTCACAAAGACGTCCCATCAAATTAGCTTCCTAAGCCGTACAATGTCCCTCAGCCTAAAAGTCTGAGTCCCTGATGATCATTAAAAAACCCAGTTAAACGATAAGAAAGATGTAAGAGCTTAAATCAACAGTTTCCCTCCAGGGGCATTTCGGTCCATTAAAAAAATGCCTACAAACCTTTTCATGCGTCAAATCTTGCATTATTAATATTCTCAAATTAGAAATGAGGGGGGAACAAAATCCTACCGAAATCCCTGGCCAAGATTCTTTTTACTGAGCGCTAAGCACAAAATACAGAGTGACAGTCATTTAGTTCCCAAGACTGTCCACACTGCGGAAAAACGGTTGGCAATTAGGATGAAGTCAGATCCCCTTTTTAACCCCTCAGAAGAGGTTCTAAGCTACCAGCTGTCAATATCTTAGCATATGACACACTGATAAGTACAGCGCAACAGTTTTTCCCTCTTATTGTGTGAAGTGGACGCTTCTTCAGAACAATAATGCTTGTTGAAGTGGGACAAAGTGGTAAATATCTATTCGACCTGTCAGAAAATGTGGCATCGATGGTTGATGCATCGGTCAGAATTAAGCTTTTCAAGGTCAAAACAGTGAGGAGTGTTACGATAAATCGGTTGTATAATTGCTGGTGTAGCGGTGATGCATCAACTGCGTATAGAGCTTCTTAAACCATACCGTAATTATGCAAATGGGCCAATTAGTGGGATAACAAACGAAGTGGCAGTTACAATGATTGTTTTGTCTAGATAGCCGGTAGTTTGGGTGAAGGTTATTTCCACCAAACTGTTAAGGTATTACTTGTGTATGCTGTGAAATTTGTACTTTTTAATCAGAATAATCACAGGGTTGCCGTGGATTAATTTAGATTAATCACGATTAAATAGCCTTCATTTTTAATCTATATTAATCGCATTTCATTTTACATGAGCAGACTCAAGAAAAAAGGGAATATATATGCACTTAACATGTTTACTGAACATCTTGAACACAAGTCACATGCATTCCATCTGCCACAGAAGTGCAATACCATGAACCCATATCAAAAAGCAAGATTTTTTGCTTAGCTGGATAACTTGTTGGATTTAAGGTACATCAGTTTAAATGATCTTTATCTTCGTTCACTTACAATTAGCCCAAACTACCGTAATCCAACAAATAATCCGACTAATCATGAAATCCAATCTAGCTTGGTTAATTGCCATTGTTAGCAATATCAGTTAATAACACATTATGCGCGGTGCTTTACGTATAAAACTCCGTAGCAACATGTCCACAGATAAGTTGGACGGTATAATGTGTGCGACCGATTTAATGAGCCACAAATGAGAAGTAGTGCTTTGAGAAGTAAAAAACTACAACTTTCCCTTCTGTTGATAAAGGGCGCAGCGGTCTTGGATTTTGAACTCGGGATCCTCTGTGCTGCTCTGAGATATTTCTCGGATCTCCGAGAAACGGGAGCGCACATGTTGTCACTTCCGGCTTCAAAACTCAGAATCCGACTCGGAATACGAGTTCCGAGGGCAAATGGAACGCACTAAAACTACCCGAAATGGGTTGACAGAGACATTTCAGGGTTTTTGAGTCATTCTGTGCTGCAGATGGGTTAATTGCATAAAAAATTTTAATCAGATTAATCATGATGATGGATTAATCTGAGTTAATTTTGACAGCCCTAATATATATATATTATAAAACAACAATATCAAAGAATTATACTGTTGTGAAGTATGAATCAACTGGAAGCAAAATTCATATTATTTAAGCATGTCATCAAATTCAAGTTCTGTGTACCGCTAAAGGCCTCCTGTAGAGAGAAACACGGCGCTCCATCAAAGGTGCTCTGTAACGCACCAAAAGGCAAAGGCACAAAGAGCAGGAGAAACACAGCGCTCCTTCAAAGCTGCTCTCTAACCTTAACCTTTAAACACTGGGACCCAATCTTCTTAGATTAAGAGGTAATCCTGACAGTCCCAAAGCACTAGGAAGGGCTTCAGGAGCGGATGATAAAGGAGAGGATCCCCCCTCCAAGTGACTCATTGATTTGTTATTATTTTTCACAGCTGCCCAGGACTCCCTGTGTCCATCTGCCTGTCCCCTTTTATGTCTCAGAGGACACTTCTCCCCAACAACAGCCCATTGAGCCGACAGTGTCCAGAGCACCACCCGAGGCAACCAAACACCCAGAGCAGCTCCTGCTCAGTGCATGTCCAAAAGGACTCCCTCCCAGCAGGTGTCCAGAGCCCATCCTGGAGCCACTGCACTTCCAGAGCCCCTCCCGGGGCCACTGCATTCCCAGAGCCCCTCCCGGGGCCACTGCATTCCCAGAGCCCCTCCTGGGGCCACTGCACTTTCAGAGCTCCTCACGGAGCCACTGCACTTCCAGAGCACCTCCTGGCTGAGCCATGCAGCATCAAAATGTAAACTAAGTTATTACCATGGGCATCCTCCTAATATTAACTACATTATAGGAAAGGCACAAGAGTGGGAAAACTGAAAGCAAGAAAAAGCTATTCAATATGCATGCAAATGTGAGGCAGCAGTTACAAGTGAATTTTTCTATTTACTCAGGTGATTTTAACATGGTAAACTGAAAAATTGCAATTGGCATAATAATAATAGTATCTGCATTGACTGCTAATGACCATCTCTGGAATTCCTGAGTAAAAGGGTGTCATGAAGTATAGTCATATCTTGATTAATACCCTTCATTTTTTCATACCCAATGTATTTTTGCATGATGTGTATGACACACATGGTGGCAGTCCCATTTTGTAATAGCCATCTATACATCCATCATAAGGCCTCTCCTGCACGGGGTTGCCATGATCCCAGTGTTTGTCCCAAGAAACACAAGGGAGAATCTAGATGGTGGGGGGTCAGCCTCTTGCAGGCACACACCACAGAGACACGACTTCACCAGACTGCCAGAAAAGTTGGATAAATGCCACCCCTGATTGTTTAAAGTCACAATATAAGGGTGATTTGGGATGTTCAAAAGTACTGCAGTCCCTCCTTAGAGATTGTTTGCGCTGCTTTTCATGGTAACCTGCAATCAAAACAAATGCGTCCCAGCCATCTCGACTACATGTGCCTAGACTGGGATTCCAGTATAATTAAGCCTCTTCGAAGGGTCCTTCCTCACGATATCGTCGTGCCGCGGGTGACAAACGACGCAGCCTGGTTTGTTCATAACGGGGGGACCCGGCTCATTTCAATGTGAGGCACAATCCGAAAATCAACTTTGACAGAGGACTGCATAACCATCTTTCCTGCTAACATTCATAGACAGCCAACTGTTCGTAACAACTAGTTTGTATTCTCTGCAACCACAAATACAGTCATCTTACGAACTGCATTATAGTCACAACTCCGGTACTGTCTAGTTAGCTGTAAACCACGTACCTAAAAAGTTACTATTGCGTTTCAGTACACGGCTTACGCTACTGTCGTTAGTAACTATTGCGTAACAGCAGTTCAGTAATACACGTACCGTACGCAACGCAACTCTCAGAATACGCGTACGGTGGAGCAGATTCGCACCTAAACTGGCTAACGCCACAGCGAGTCGCTATAAACGTAACCCCAGCCCTAATGCAGCTGCCACAACCATCATACTTACTTTGGTTCCTTTTTGCGGCTCTCGTCTTCGTGAGAGCCGCTACGCGTCAGTTTTTTCGCTTGAAAGTAAGACAGAAAACGAGCGTTTGAAACACCCAGCGGCCTCCTTCCGCTGCACCGCCAAAGCCACGCCCCTTTCCCTTGCGTCAACGGGCAAGCTGCCTTTGACTCCTCCCACTGCGGTGCAACCGTGTTTGTAAACATACAGAGAGGCCTTTATCATAACTCGCAGTAATAGCTGATTATACTGGATAATGCTAAACGTAACGAATCCCCAAGCGGAAGTTTAATGGCATATAAATTTGTAAGACAAGAGTGAGTTTTGTAAGTTGTTTAAAAATTTTACAGAAGCACTTTTTTTTCTAATATATTGTCTTCAGTGTACACGCAAAGACTCATTAAACATTAATATTTAGCTAAGTTACTGGTACTACCAAAGGTTTGCCTGATGAACGGTAACGCCTCCTGTGTTAGTTAAAAGTGGGAGGTGAATTGTAAGGACCTGCTTACATTCCTGCTAATGGATGTGGACACTTAAACATTTAAAAAAAATTTCTCCCACACTGAGCTAATGAATGTTTGTATGTCCTCTTTTAAGTTTGTGTGTGATATAATCTGTTTGTGTGCACACTCTCTCATTATCTTCACCCATCCATTTTCTGTAACCGCTAGTCCTGTTCATGGTCACAGGAGGACCAGAGCCTATCCCAGAGGCTACTGGTACAAAGCAGGGAACAACCCAGGATGGGGTGCCAACCCATCACAGGGCACACACACAACTATGGGCAATTTGGTAACTCCAATTAACCTCAGCATGTTTTTGGACTGTGGGGGCAAACCGGGGTTCCACCAGGAAACCCCACAATGACACGGGGATAACATGCAAACTCCTTGCAGGGACCCATGGTGGAGACTCAAACGCTGATACCAGAGTTGTGAAGCAACATTGCTAATCACTGCACCACTGTGCAACCCCCAGTTTTGTCTTCACTACAGTGTATTTCAATGATCTTTTAAATAGCCATTTTTATACACAGTGTGGGTTACATTGGCCATATCACTTACATATGATGCTATTTACTGCGTGAAAATGAATAATTAAGTATATAAGGGAAAACATGGGGGAAAATGTCACTGCTTTTGTTTCAACTAGCTGAATTAAATACCCTCATACATGTTTATGTGTTGGTACAAATAATATTTACTCACAATTGAAGACTTGATTACATGGAAAATTTTTATAATAGAGATAATCAAATAACAGTTTTTCAACTTACATAATTAACTGTCTTCACCCAGAACTTGTTATAGAGTAAGTAGAGGAGCAGTGACTGTGTACAGAATATTGTTACATATAGAGGTGCACATTTCAGGCCCAGAAAGTGAAAATCCAGGCCAAGACTTTGTTTCAAACAATCAGTTGAATACTCTATGACTGTGACTTTTTATACTCAACTGGTTGGTTGAAACAAAATCTTGGCCTGGATTTTCACTTTCTGGACTTGAAAGGGATACCTCTGCTTATGCCTAGTGATGCATGCTGTTCAGGTATCATGGGTTTTATATCACCTTTTACAAATATCTATTTTGTTTTGGCTTCCATTTCAGACATGGGCTCCAGTTGCCATTTTCTCTATTTCCAAGTTATAAACCTTTGATGTCTGCTAATTTAACATTTTTTCCCAGTCCAGGGGTTTGTAAGCACTCCCACATTTCTGCATCTTCAAGAGGACATTATTCTGCTGAGCTGAAGAACGAGGTTTGTAGCTAAAGGCTACAAACTTACTTGCAGGCATGAATTTGTTGAAATAATAGATTCAGCCCACAGAGATACACTGAACTGACAATGTGTATTGCATTGAGAATCTTAGTTTCCTCATTTAATTTCTTACCACTATTTTACTTGTAAATTTACATTTAACATATCTGCATTTAGATAAAATACAAACAAGCAAACAAATAGATAGACAAATAAAGACAAATATTAAATAAAAAACTTTATACTATATTTACATTTGATACTATTGTTGGTGTATTTAAGACAGTGTTCTCTGGCAAGAATTGCGTTCAACTTACAGTTTGTCAACTGTGCTTTCCAGAAACCGCAAGATTTAGTCATAATCCCTCAAACTTCTGTCATGATTCGTACATCACTAAGGATTATTATTGATTGTAGACTTCAGATACCATTACAAATATGTGTCAAATGCTTTTCATGTTATCAATGAAGAATTACAATCTACAGTGGCATGTTTTATTGACCAGGGTTAATTGGATTTTATTTTGTAGTAATGAGATCCGATTTGTGTTGATTGTTATACAACTCATCAGCCAGTTTCAATACCTGCAATAATACATTTCTGCCAATTACATTGATTTTTATTATATTTTTAAAAAGATACTCTGCAATATTAAAAAAGTGTTTTTGTTTGTGTTTCTAGACCTTTCCATAAATGGAAGGAGGTCAGCTTCTTCACATTAGTGTTGGCACCCCTACCAGTCAATAACTTTTACCATTGCCACCAGTATGTAATTATATGTTAATACTACTGACCACACACAACCAAGAACATGCAAAAATCCATGCATATGCATATCACAAGCCATTGATCAACATGCATGTCTCATATGTGGTTTATAAATGTATATTTTTCTCATTTGTCCATTCACATGTATATTACACTATATGGACAAAAGTATTGGAACACCTGGCCATTATGAACTTTCATTCTAATTCCATAGGTATCAATATGGAGTTGCCCCCTCCTTTTCAGCTATAACAGCTGACATTCTTCTGGGAAGGCTTTCCATAAGATTTTGGATTGTGTCTATGGGAATTTTTGTCCATTCAACCAGTAGAGCATTTGTGAGGTCAGGCACTGATGTTGGATGTAAAGGCCTGGCTCGCAATTTCTGTTCTAGTTCATCCCAAAGGTATTTGATGGTGTTGAGGTCAGAGTACTGTGTGGGCCAGTCAAGTTTTCACACCAAACTCACCCAACCATGTCTTCATGGACCTTGTTTTAGGTACTGGGGCACAGTCATGCTGGAACAGAAAAAGTACATGCCCAAACTGTTCCCACAAAGTTGGAAGCATAGAATTGTCCAAAACGTCTTGGTATGCAGAAACATTAAGAGTTCCCTTCACTGGAACTAAGGGGCCTAGCCTAACCCCGTACCAAACAGCCCCATACCATTACCCCCCCTAATCACCAAACTTTATAGTTGGCACAATACAGTCAGGCAAGTAACAATCTCCTGGCATCCACCAAACCCAGACTTGTCCATCAGACTGCCAGACAGAGAAGCATGATTCCTCACTCTACAGAACATGTTTCCACTGCTCCAGAGTCCAGTGGCGACATGCTTTACACCACTGCATCCGGCGCTCGGTACTGTGCTTGATGATGTGAGGCGTCATGCAGCTGCTCGGCCATGGAAGCCCATTCCGTGAAGCTCAGTTTTTGTGTTGGGGTTAATAACAGATATAGTTTGGAACTCTACAGTTATTGAGTCAACAAAGCGTTGGTGACTTTTACACACTATGCACCTCAGCAATTGGTGACTCCACTCTGTTACTTTACGTGGTCTGCCACTTTGTGGCTGAGTTCCTGTTATTCCTAAATGTTTTCATTTTGCAATAATACCACTTACAGTTGACCGTATAATATCTAGCAGGGAAGAAATTTCACAAACTGACAGTACTGACACGCTTGAATTGACTGAGCTATTCAGAACGACCCATTTTTTCACAAATGTTTGTAAACCTGACTGCATGGCTAGGTGCTTGATTTTATACACCTGTGGTAATGGGTCTGAGTGAAAAAGCTGAATTTGACGATTAAGAAGTGTGTCCCAGTACTTTTGTCCATATAGAATATGTTCTGGGTTACAATGTAAGGGTGCCTCCATGGAACTGTAGAACTGGCTTGGAAAGATGGTGTGTCATACCATTCAACAAAGATAATAATAATAATAAATAATACATTTTATTTATAAAGCGCTTTTCAAGACACTCAAAGACGCTTCACAACACAATAGAATAAAATAACACACAATTTACAGTTTACAGGCATGAATTTGTTGAAATACCAGATGTCATTTCCATGGGGCTGTTTTCTGAGGTAATGTGGAAGGAGATACAAGCTATTGGTTAATTTGACATCCAAGCTATCCCTATTGGTTCATATGACATCCAAGCTATCCCTATTGGTTCATATGACATCCATGCTATCCCTATTGGTTCATATGACATCCATGCTATCCCTATTGGTTCATTTGAAATCATTTTTTCATGTCTCTCCATGTACACCCATCATTTTTGTTTGTTTAGGTAGTACTGAGAGAAAAGGCTATGGCATTATTATAGTATATGCATGATATGAGTGCACTGATATATAGGAGTGTCACAAATTATCTGTGTTATACATCTGCTAATATGAAAGCTAAAATAAGGTTTCTGTCTAATGCCAAAGAAAGATTATCCAAAGCTCAGATTACACATCTAGAGAAACTACATTAGGTTCCTGTAAATCCCTGACTTCAGTGACGACTTATGTTATAGAATTAACTTCACCTTGTCCCTGACATTTTGGAGGAATGCAAGGGGAATTCGCTCTGAGGTAAGGCAGCATGCCTAGGAATTCCCTGTGAAATAAGGCAGCATGCCTAGGAATTCCCTGTGAAATAAGGCAGCATGCCTAGGAATTCCCTTCCCCTACCAAGAACATGAACATTACACTGTGTCCCATATATAGGAGTGTCACAAATTATCTGTGTTATACATCTGCTAATATGAAAGCTAAAATAAGGTTTCTGTCTAATGCCAAAGAAAGATTATCCAAAGCTCAGATTACACATCTAGAGAAGCTACATAAGGTTCCTGTAAATCCCTGACTTCAGTGACGACTTATGTTATAGAATTAACTTCACCTTGTCCCTGACATTTTGGAGGAATGCAGGGGGAATTCGCTCTGAAGTAAGGCAGCATGCCTAGGAATTCCTCTGTGAAATAAGGCAGCATGCCTAGGAATTCCCTTCCCCTACCAAGAACATGAACATTACACTGTGTCCCGCTCTCACATCAAATGAAGCATTTTTTTCCATGTCTTGAACTGCCAAGAATGTAGCCAGCGTGTCCCGTCTCAGCCAAC